AAAGTGAGTGATCTCAATAAACACTGGATTGATGTGTAAGGAAAGGCAAGATGATCTATAGCAATAAAGCTCTGATTTGGCTGCACTGTGCAATTATCCAAAGAGTTTCAAAAAATATAGACGACCAGGTTATACTACCAGAGATTTAGATCTTATTATACTAGGATGTGGTCTTGACAATGGCATTTTTAAAACTGTCCAAGTAACTCTAGTGTACAGTTACCATTGAGAATCGCTTTAAAAGAATTGTCTATAGAGCTGTTAAAACAAATTTCACCTGTATAAATTTAGAGATCTAATTGACTTTACTAAATGATTCATGAATGAAGCAGAGTCCCATTTAGCAGGTGGAAAGGCTGTGTGACATGCTGTACAAACTGGAAGGTTTGTATAGTCAGGAAGAGGGTGGCACAAGGTTATTAGCAAAAGAAAGATTGTTACAGGCAAAGCCACTTTCCTTCAGAGGAAAGTAAGGTGGTCTTACCATGTATATTAATTCCCTAATCCTGATGGTTTAAAAGTCTTGTTTTGGAAGAGGTTGAAACGGATGGTTAGTAAGTCTTGGTGAGTATATTTCGGGCCTATTGTTTCTTTAACAGAATACATATAAATCATTCCAATCAGCCTATTAGTTCCACATATCTAATAAACACTTTTGGAAAAATTTCATACATATAATAATAGGGGGAATGTTTAAAGAGCTCCCACTTAAATACCAGATTCGAATGAACTTGTGGATGAAGGTTTTTAATGTGTAGGTGGTACATGAGCCACACTGAGAAATACAGCAAAAATGTAGAGTTAGCTTTTCAGATGCCATAACTGCTACCAGCTGCATAAACACCTGGATAAGTCCAAGTCTGGCTAGGTCAGGGGTGGCCAAACAGTTTCCCCGTGCATACCTTCTCTAATTGATGGATAGAGTATCTCAATAGTGGTGAGAAGGATACTGAGGCTGAGTCTAGGTCCTGCCAGCAGATGCTGGGTTGAATGTTTGCGTAGTGATCTCTAACTTTACCTAACAATTGGGATGATGCATTAGATGTGGTTAATAAGGTTCTGTGCTAAGAAGAATGAGGGCTCTAATATTCCCGTGTAAGTGTATAGGTAACAAGTTACTCTTAATGCTTATATAGTGAATGAGAGAGTATGATCTACTGCTTTGGAGGAAAGAAAAGGGGATCTCACATGAAATTCCAAGGCTCTCAAGGGCAAGAATATGTCCCATCATGCTTCTTTTGAAGAAGATGCTCAGGGCAAGGTGCTGTCATTTTCTGTATAGCCCTAGGACTAAAATACAAGGTTGCACGAACATAATTAATGTTCAGAAGCAAATCTGTGTTTTCAGTCTAGAAATATTTTCTTGAAAATATACCTATGAAACATTTTGTAGATAATCAGTGATTAGTTAATATTTGTGCTTTAAAGACACACATCAATCAACTTGTTAATTAATGTATAAAAACACACACAATATTAATTTCATTTTACAGAAATAATCTGAGATCACACTTCTGTACTAATTTTCTTCAGGAAAATTTATCTTGGGTCAAGTGACTAAATTCAATATAGTATTTCCATTCAAGAGCTCAGATTGTAATGTCAGATAGCCTTGGCTGAAATTTAGGCTTGGCCGCTTTCTGGCTTTGTGACCTTGAACAAGTCTCTTAAGCTCTCTGCATCTGTCTCTCTATTTGTAAAGGGGTTAACAATAGGATCTACTTCAGGGCTTTTGTGAAGATTAAAGAGGCCATATATACAAAGGACTTAGAAAAATGCTTGGCAGACAGTACTCAGTATATTAGATAATATTATTGGTTTCATCTTGGGGTAATAAACTCTCTTGGTATCATCCTGCCTTTCTGACCACTCTGTCTTATTTTCCTTCCTGGTTCATCCTCCTCTGTGGAACTTTCAAATGTGAAAACTTTCCTAGGGCTGCATCTTACATTTGTCTCTTCTCCCCTTTCCTGTCTCCTCCTCCCTTCCAACTCCATTTTCCTTTCTTTTTCTCTATCAACAGTAACACTGAGTTGCTCTATTACTATGTCTTTACACACATAGATTATTTAATCCCCACCTAAAACATTTAGAACCAGGTTTGGATATAATGTTTTCAAAGTAGAAACATGCATTCCTTTCTCCTGGTGCCAGTCTCCCATGAGCCCCTCATTATGTTATACCCAGATGTTGCCCTCGTTATGTCAAGCCCAGAAAGAGCTGAGTTTGTTTCATCTAGCCACTCCCTACTTAGGTGTTCTTGGACAGTTACATCGCCATGAGTAAGTCAGCCTTAGTTTCTTCACCTGTAACATGGGGCTGAGCAGAGTACCAATCTCACAGCATTATTTTAAGGGTTAAGGCCTCCTTGGTGGTGCAGGGGTTAACAATAGTGCTATCAAGCTGTCGCCAGCCACTGCAGCACAAGTTCCAACCCTGGCAGGTCTGCCAGGGAGAAACCCACATGGCACAGCACACCTCTCCTATCTCCCCTGCTGCTCCCCTTAGCACTGTGTTTCAGTAGATCTGCCTGTTATGCTCCCCACACTCTCTGGTGAATCCTTTCACCTCCCCGCACCTCTGGCTTACACTCCAGTTCTTGTATGCATAAATAAATAAATCTTTAAAAATATTTTAAGGGTTAAATGAGATAATTCAGGAGAAATGATGAGCACAGAGTCTAGGTCAGATTCTCTTTTTTTTAAAGATTTATTTATTTATTTGCTTATTTATTTATTTATACAAGCACTGGGTACAGTCAGAAGCGCGGGAGGGTGAGAGAATTCACCAGAGCCAGAGCGGGGAGCAGAGCAGGCAGAAGGACCGAAGTACACTGCTGAGGGGAGCAGCGGGTGGCAGGAGAGGTCTGCGCGCCATGTGGGACCCTCCCTCCTGGGAGCAGCCGGGGATCGAACCTGTGCTGCAGAGGCCGCAGGCAGCTTCGTAACCCAGCGCTCAACCACTGCGCCACCGGGGAGGCCCTACGTCAGATTCTGTAACCATCTAGCACATTGTTTTTATTATCACTGATGCGAAAGTCACAGAAAAATTCAGCACAGACCTATGGCCTTGCTCTTGAAGCATGAAGGAGCCAGCTCTCCTCCTGGTGTCTGGTGTGCACTTCAAGCTCTGACATTTCCAATTCCCGAGCTTCTCTGAGAGCAAATAGTCATGAACAAGTCTTTCAGAGAAAAGAATAAACTGGATTTTGAAGATAAGTCCATGCAGAAGGACCGAAGGCTCCCCTTCCACACATGCTCCCCTGGAAGCTATTGTCTGGCGTGGGGACCCAGGAGTCAGGCTGCCATTGTTGCTCGTAGGTTCAGATATTTCTTTACTGATTGGTGGTGTTCCCACGCATAAAATACAGAGACAATGAATTTAAGTTGCCTTGCTCCACAGAGAGTTAATTTCTCATCCCTTGGACTGCCTGCCTATTCAGAGGATGGTTCATTTAGGTGGCTTTCCCAGTGATGGCCCTGGCTGCCTAGCAACCACCAGCTCCAAACCTTCCATGAATAACGGCAGGAGCTGTTCATATCAGTGCCATCAATTTTTTTTTTTTAAAGATGAACTCATTTTATAAAAATTCAACCTCATGAAATTATAGCTTCCCTATATATATTGTTCTCCAGCAATTGCTGATAACTATGTAACACTAAAACTGATTTGGGAATGGCAAATTCTTGAGTGGCTACTAATATAAATGTGGGTATGTTTAAAAAAAATCATATATATTTATATATAAGCAGAGCTTGTGCTTGTGAACATTCTCAGCACTTTCAGAGGTAGTTGGTAACCACCAACCAGCTTCTACCCTTCCAGGACATAACTGGCATCCTTATTCCTGTATTTGCTTTAAGAGCAAATACATGATGATTTTTCCTGTAGTTTCTAAATTCTAATAGTCACAACATTGTTCTATAGCAAAAGAAATCAATTCCATCTTATTTATATGTGTAGAAATGGATGGTATGAATTTAAATTACTCAGAACACAATGATTCATCAGAAAGTCGATAAATTAAAAGGTCAGTAATTTCTCCAAATGATTTTGAGGTTGCTTTGCAATTCTTCTGGGCTTAATCTCCTCTATTAAATGATCTCTGGGTCTGCATAATTATTAAGTCAGTAGCATTCAGTGTGATTAACTTTTGATTTTAATCTTTTCATGGATTATTTTTGCCCTAGCATTTTCTAATCCTTTGATTCTCACCTCGTTTAGAAACTTTGACTCCACCTGACTTGTTTAGCCAAAAATTTGCCTTACAGATGCATTGTGGTGAGCATCAAAATGTTACATAAAATGATTAAAAACCTCAACTCTTAGGCTGGGGACATGTCCCTAGAATTTTCTAAGTCTTGGTGTTCCTGTTGGTGCAGTGGAGGTAATATCTACACCAATAGCAAAGGTATTTTGAAAATTATAAGACAGTGTGTTTGAACCATTTAACAGAATAACTGGAAGATAGTATGAATGAAAGTCAGTGAATAAGGGAAACAACTTGAAGTGTTGCCTGTACCTACTCACATAAAATGAGATGAACAGATGCCCTCGTATTTCAGTTTTCCCGTCCACAGCTCCCTATTACCTCCCCCACCTTCCAAAGCATATCTTCAGCACTACCAAACAAACAAAATAATCCCTCAGTTCTCATTAAACAGCATGTTTCTCTAAATGTAATTCTGCTTTATTTAATTTTAGGTTTGGTAGAGTGTTGTAAGTGAGAAACATTTGGGTAACATACCAAATGGAAGAGATTAGAAAAATTTAGTTTTCATATTTCAGGGCAGGTTGTATGGCCTGAGATTAATTGAATGGAATAAAATCATAGTTATTGGCAGACATAATGAGCACTGCTGGTGGAAGTGGAGGGCAGGACTGGGGTAACCCAGAGCACAGGAGATCACAGGTCTGTTTGTGGAGGTACACATCATTGTGCCAGGAAACCAGTTGGTGAATCGCCCTATTTTGCTTTTTCTTTACTGTCCAATAAACAGTACTTCCTTTACCCGGAGGGCTCTGGCTTCACAATCGACAGCACTGGAACAATTTCTACAGCAGCAGTTTTTGATTTTGAGCGTAAAGCTAGAAGGTAAATACTGCACCTGGCTTTTCATTCACTTGAAATGTCTATCCTTTGGTTCATATTTCCCTGTTTGAGAATACTTGCATACTTGCTCTCATATGACTTTAATGCACTTCCCAATGAAGAGGCTTCATATTTCTTAAATATGAAATCACCACCTAAACTGTAATCGTACAATTGCTGGTTTAGGTACGAGATGTGGCCATTTTGACTCTTCTCTGCATCATCAGCTTTCTTGAGAATCAAGTAGCCAAATGATCTCAGTGGTGCTGTTGTGACCTGCAGTGGAAGTGGGTATGGACTTCTCCGAGTGGCTGGGGCCCAGTATTCATTCACAGGGTAATCTAGCAACTTCGGAAGTTAATGGACTGACATTTTCTCCTCATTTCCTCCACATCTGCCAAATGGGTAGCTATTGTTTCATAGTTACTATTTCTATTTTTATAATGGGTTTTATGACCATCCTTTCAGTTATATGTTCTGCATCAAAGTGTTTTACAAGAAAGGGAAATGGACCTTTAAACCATTCCAATCAGCCTGCTCCTGAATCACATAAGGAGAATTTTCCTGATTATGAAAGTTGAGGATGGATATATCCCAAGCCTTAGAATCTTCTGTAAAATGGATTCAGGTCAAAATGGGATGTATTCTTTTCTACTGAGTTTATGAAAACACATCTGTGAAGAGTACACCTAAACTTGTGTTATCTTTATATACATATTAGCAGAAATAAACAAAATCTTAATTCTCTTACTTCAAAATCCCTCTGCCTATATTTATCTGATCTCAAAAGTAACTCTGGGAATAATGGGTAATAGCCATCACAGCTTCCTCTTTTTTTCTTTGACCTGATATACCTCATGCAAAGAGGATTATTCCCATTCGAAGGGAATAAGGTCATTCATGAGAGTTCTAAAAATTAGCTTTTTCTTTACAAGAGAAAATGAAAACTTTTCCTTTTCTCAATATTTTTGAAATCAGTGGAGTTGACATGGAAAAACTGGAGTTTTGTTTGAAGAATTTGAATAAATAATTATTTGGTTAAAGTTTTGCAGTGGGTTCTAACCTAAAGTTCTGTGGCGAACACATCATTCCTTAGTTTTCTTGACTTCAGAGCTTCTAGGGTCACTGAGTCGAACTTTAAGTGAGAATAAAAAAAATTTTAGAATGCCTCATTACTTCTTATGAATTCTCTCCCTTCAAAGGAGATATAGAGGCATGAAATCTCTTGTTTAAATCCTGATGAAAGCATTCAAAAGGTTCATTTCTTTCTTATTCTTCTGCAGTCAACTCCAGCGTGCAGCTAGACCAAGAGTACTTTGAGGTATTTGGGCTTGCTGATCCCGCCCAGAACCCATTCCTTCATTCTTGGAGTTAAGACTTTCCAGAATGATTAAAGAAATGCCGTTATTTTTAAAAGTGGATTGGCTTTGTGATTTTCATCAAGAGTTAGCTCATAAATAGTCATCTTGTAGGAAATGTTTTGGAATAAGAGGAAAATGGGAGCTGGTTTAATTTTCAGGATAACAAAAACAGTAATTTTGGTCTCAATTATTTAATTTAAATATTTTTTTCCCCTGAAAGATTGACAAGCTATTCCAGTTTGCCTGGGACTGATAAGTTTTTGGGATGTGTTTGGGACTTTAGGGTTAAAACTGGCCAGTCCCAGGCAAATCTGGATGGTTGGTTATGGATATAAATATTCATATATTTTTTAAAGATTTATTTATTTATTTATACAAGCACTGGGTACAGTCACACGCACAGGAGGGTGAGAGAATTCACCAGAGCCAGAGTGGAGTGCAGAACAGGCAGATGAAGTACCCCTGCTGAGGGGAGCAGCAGGCGGCAGGAGAGGTCTGCGTGCCATGTGGGACCCTCACCCGGCGGCTGGGGATCGAACTGGTGCTGCAGATGTTGCGGGAAGCTTCGCAACCCAGCGCTCAACCACAGCGCCACCGGGGAGGCCCAACATTCATATTTCTTTAGGCTACGTTCAGTTTCCCCATTTCAAGCTCCATCATTCCTCAGACACATAAACACCTCTTTTGACATAAAAACATTTTAATCATCTAACCACCTTATCATTCCCCCATGGTCATGAAGTTGTTTTGAGTTGTTCTTACACCTTCTTTGCTTTTGCCAGTTTGTAATATTGAAAAATCAGCTTCTCAGGGTAAGAATTCATACCCATAGCTTTGTGTGCTCTACCATGCTAAGGAATTCCTTTTGCATTTTTATTATTGAAGGGGACTAACAGACTTTTCTGCTTCTGCTGTCCTTTCAGAAGATTTGACTAAATTGGTTCATAACAATTATTTCTAACTAAGAGTAACTGTTTGACTGACATTCTAACTAAACTAACCAATTGTTTTAATTGGTCAGTTAAACCCAATTGCTTCTATTTTTGTAAAATTCTGTTAGTTACTACAAAAATCATGACTGTCTTTCTTGTGGCTGCACTTTCAGTTTCTTATTAGTTGTTAAAGTGGTTGATCCTGGAGGACTGTTTGCTGTTGGGAATCTAAGGATTTTCCTCATCAATGTCAATAACAAGAACCCCATACTTACCTGCAGGTAAGGAACTAAAACATATTCTCTAAAATGGCCTTCAAAGTTGAATATAAAAATGTAGTCTCTGAAATTCATGAGTGAAATTTGCATTAGAATGAAATGGTTCTCTCCCTCTCTCCCTGCCCCACCAAGGGAAAATAAACAGGTAAGATGTTATTAATCACATAAAATATAAGATTCCAATGAAAAGACTTTCTTAAACATAAAGATAGTTTTAAAGTATAAAACGTATTGAAATTGCAATAGACTAAGGTATTATGATTGCAAATGTTCTTAATATGATGTACTGGATTGTCTGTCACTATTTCCCTAAAGGAAAATTCTGGTTAAAATTATCACCAGGGAGTTTATTAAACCACATTAGTTGTCAATAAATTAAAAAAAAATTGGTTCTTATAATAGAGGGATAACAGCACAATGGTCAAGAATACAGTCTCCAGTGCCAGATAGACTTGGGATCAAAACCTCTTGGCCACTTGCTGTTTCCCTGCAGAAGTTACTTCATTTTCAAAATCTTAGTTTCCACATGTGTAAAATGGCAACAAACATGGTGCCTATTTCCTGGGAATGCAATGAGTAGTAAATGAGCAAACCTGAAAAATGTTAGCATTGTGTCTGAAGTGTAGAAAAATGCACTGTCAATGGGTTAGCTGTTAAACCATTGCCGGAATTTGTACTTTGAACAAAACTACCTCTAGTCTCCGAACCTTTCATCATCATAAATGGGTCCAAAAAATACTCACCAGCAAATGCCACTCTAATTGTCTTTTCTGTTGAAACAAGTTTATTCAGTATTGAAAATGCTGTTTTGGCTGTTACTTCTGTGAACTCAACTCTACACCATAAAGTCAACATCACACTGGATGAAGAAATTCCAGTTGGGCAGACAATTGGAAAATGCCAGGCAACTGATGAAGATAACTTGGGAGATTTAACCTTTAAATTAGATCCACAGAATATTTACTTTGCAGTTGGCAAAGGTGGGTTGAGAACTGTTCTCAGCAAATTATATCTTTTACATGCTATTATTATGTGTTTATGTCACCTGGGCAAGATTGAGTTTCTAAAATACCGGATGGTCTCACTCATAGCAGGAATCTAGAAAACTTAAATAAGGGACCAGGAAAATGAATAACCATAAGAAAGTGAAAATCAAAATCAACAAAAAACTATGAACCAGAGACACTCTATGGGGGGTAGAGGGTGGGAGGGGAGGGATTGGGGTCAAAATAAGGGGGTTGCAATTGTATGGGGAATATAAAAATAAAATTTATTATAAAAAAATAAAAGAAGATACACTGGGAAGAAAAGAAGAAAAAAAAAAGATTGAGTTTCTAGAAGGAAAATATTGGAGTGTCTACATTTTCAGAACCTCTACAAGAAGCACATAGTAAATGCTGATTAAACATCTGTTGAATAACTCTCTGTAAGACCCAGTTCTTTGTTCACTCATAAGCCAATAGGAGGCTTCTCATGGTTGCCTTAGCTCTTATTTTACACGACCTTCCCCATTCAGCTAACATCTAAATCACTCTTTTCTCTGAGTCTGAGAACTTCTGTGAGAGGGAATATGATTGGACTTTCAGGAGTGAGTCACTCACTTCTTGTCCAATGAGCTGCATCTGAGACTTGGGGTGGAATAGATCATGTGGTATACAAGGCTTCTTCTGGATTGATAAGAGTAGAAATGTGGCACAGCTGTGGGTTAAGCCATTGTAGTAGATGCTGTCAGTGTCCCACATGTTGGGAAAATACCACCCTCCGCCACAGTTTAACTAATGACTGAAGAGAATTGGTATATAAAAACTGTAGCTTCTTGCCGCTGGCAGAGGGGCAATTTTGAGTGCGTGGTTTTGCTATGAATTCCAGACTTCTAAGTGCTATTAAGCTCAAGTTGCCCACAGTGGAAACTTACTTGATAATGCGCTTTTTATTGCTTTTTTGTTCACTCATGAACAACAATAAAAAGCCCTGTTTTTCTACTCTCACTCTCCCCACCCCATCATTGCCCTGAATCGCTTCCAGAGATAAACTACATGCGCTCAAATCTTCATCTCAGGCTCTGCTTCTGAGGCAGCCCCAACTGAGACAGCCACTGTCTGCTCTTACCTGAATTACTGCACAGATGTCTTAACTGGGCTTCTGCTTTCACACTTACTCCCTCCACTAGTCTAAACAGAACAGCTAGAATGAATTAAAAAGAAAAAAGTCAAATTGGATCATGATCCTCCCCTATGTAAAATCCTCCTGTGATTTTCCTTTGCACTTGGAATGTAACCCAGACTTCTTACTCACTGCCAAGATCCTATTTTCATCAACCTTTGTCTCTCTTTGCAGCTTCATCCTGTTCCTTTCTTCCCTTGTCCATTACACTACAGCCAGCTGAGCAGGCTTCCTGCTTCAGGACCTCTGTTCTTGCATTTTTTAGGACCCAACCATTAGACATTTTTATCACATGACAATTTTCATTTCCTTAATGAGATGTCTATTGGAATTACTTTCCTTTTTTACCCTTGTTTAGTGGTTTGTGTCCCAGACCGGATGGTATATTCCACAAAGGCAGGGACTACATTGCAGTATATACAGTACTCAGCACAGTTCCTGGCACATACTTTGGTCTTGCATAAATGTTTGTTGAATGAATGGATGGATTGGGTAGAAAGAGTCCAATGAGTCATTATCTTTTTCATATATGATGTTCTCTCTGCTGGGAATGATCTCCCACACACTACAATTCCTTATCCTACATATCCTTCAAGGTCTAAAATAAGGGCCTCCTCTTCTAGAAAATTTTCCTTGTTCTCCTAAGCCAAAAACAATTTTGTTTTTGCTATGAGCTAACATGATTAAATGAGCGTATTTTTGGTGACAAACAATAAACGTGGTGTTTATATTTTAATCAGTTCATTAATTCTAATGAAAGGGGCACAATTCACATTTTATCTCTTTTATTGCTGCATAAAAATATAATTTTGAAAATGACAGCATGGGTCAATTTGCAGCAAGATGTGCTATTTTGTTCCAGAGCACGGAACTGTGGTTTCTACTGGCCGCCTTGATGTGGAGAGAGCTGGCTTTGCTCGTGTGCAGCCCTTCTCCATTAAGGCTTGTGACCATGACCAGCGATGTGCCACAATTGCAGTGACTGCCCATATCCATGGCATTAATGACAACCCACCTTTCTGTGATCACTATCTGATTAGGTGAGCTGCAACCATGGGCAGGGTTAAGAATTCAAGTGAGTGGAGAACACAGGTGCTGCTGTATTTATGCTCAACTGGACATGAGGTTGATTATTTCATTGACTCTTGTTTAGTTTCATATCCCAGTCCTCAGAAGAGACCTGGACCGAAAGCTGGGTCCCAGATCTAACAGAAAGTGGTTAAAAGCTTTTGTTTTGGAGTCACAGACTTGGCTTGGAATCCTGGTTTTATCACTTACTAGTTGACCAATCTTGGGTAATTTGTTTATACCCTCTGATTTCCAGGTTTTTTCCTTTATAAAGTGAGATAATAGTCATATTTACTCTATAGGGTGGTTATAGAGAATAAATGGGATTATTTATGTAATATTCTTAGCTCAGAGCTAAGCATATGGTATGAGTTTCATAAATGTTATTTACCACAGCTCCATAACTCCTATTGGAAACCCTTGGCCTGGAGGTATTTCAGGATAAATGCTTTTTTTAATTATAGAAAGGTATCATAGCATGTATACCACATCTTATGCAAGTACTGCATATTCCAATCCATAAATATCTCTGCAACAAAACATATGTATACTTACAGTAAAAGGTGTAAAGAAAGATTTGACAATTCAGGTAGTACCTATATCAGAAATTTAAGGTTAGATCAGGCTTGGGCCTCACAAATTATGAGAAAATTCTGAGTTTCTGAATTTGGAATCTGGACAAGGGATTATGAAGTTGTATTTCTGTCAGTAAGGCAATTTTTATTATTTGGAAATCATTCTCCATCATTCTTAGATGTCTCCCTTCTTCCTTCAATCTCTAAACTGTACAGAGGACAAGAGTCCTTGCCCTCAGATTTCCTAAGTTTTGTTCCTAGATATTCTGATTATTGAATGACAAATAACACCTAGTCTGCTTTAATTACTGCCCATGTGTCTTCAGTTCCAATTACCCTACCTTTCAAATGGAGATGATAATTGCATCTACCTCATAGTATTGTTATAAAAATCAAATACAACAAGGCTTGCAATTTGTTCAGTATGGAGTTTGGCATTCATTCAGTAAATGTTATTTGCTTTCTTCTCCATCATTTTTCTTCTTTCCTCAAGAGGATCTTAGTTAAATGACCACACACCTACCACATGCTGCACCCAGTGCTCTCAACCCTAGAGGTGACAGGAGGAGAATTTGCTATGCCTATTTGCTGTAAGGAACCTATAAATTGCCAGGGTGATAAGATGATCTACAGCAACAGTTAAAAAAGAAAAGATGATTTCAAATTAAGTTATATGTGGTGGGCTTTAATTGTTAAGCAGGAGAACATGTGGGGATGAAGTAATCAGGAGAGCTTCTTGAAGGAATGAAATCTATGCTAGTCTTTGAAAAATGAATAGAATTTAGAGGTTAAAGGTTTAAGAATGAATGCTTGGGGCAGAGATATTCCAGTAAAGATTTGGGTGAATACAGAGAGATGGAAGGAAGGTTCTGTGACTATAGAAAGGTAGGATTTATTCCTCTTGAACACATAATACAGGAGCTCTAGGTTGGAACAATTTCAAAGAATAATCTGATTCCCACTCAGGTCTTGTCCATTGAGATGATATCCTTAAGAGATTTCTAAACCAGCCCCAGGTTGGGTAAAGAAAAGAAATACTCCTAGAAAATGAGGCTAGTCTTATTAAATTCATAGTACATTTTTTTGGGAAGTGGTTTTCCAGATGGTGCTCCAAAACTGGACTGCCTGTACCAAGATAAATAGGGCAGTCACAAATATGCATTGTTCAAAATAGTAGATATTTATGGGGAAAACATTACATTAAAAAACCACAACCCTATCCATCTAAAGTATTTTTTCTCCTCAAAAAAATGAAATAGGTACACAGGCAACGAGGTGATTGCAAAAGATACAGTAGTTGCAAAACTCTTATGTCACGACATTGATGAGCCTCCTGATACCATCCATTACGCTCCAGGCTCGGGGCCAATTGGTTCTGGACAACTCTTTTTGCAAATGCCAAATGCTGAAAACTTCATCCAGGTGAGCACATGTTACTGTACATCCAGGGAATTTTCCCAACTGGATGAAGTCATTTCATGGGCACAGTTGGTTTGATGCTGGTAGATTCAGCAAGAGAAGCTCTGATTGGGCAGAGTCTGGGGCCTCTTCTGCTGTCTCACTGGAAGGTATTTGGCCGAGTATCTTCGTTGTCCTGCTGCCAGTCATCATTTTCTCCTCTTGTAGTGAACACAAAATAAGTTACTTCCTATTTAGTTGGGTAAATGAATCAGAGGCTAAAAAGCACTCTGATTTCCTCGGAGATAAGTCTGTATGAATACATGTACAAGATGGCTCGTTCTCCTTTGTGGGAGGGGGAGGTAAGTTCTTCCTCTCTTCACCCTCTTGAAGCTATTAACTTTCCATTGGCACAGGATGGGCAGAGTAAGGTTTTTTCCCCCTTCTCAAGATGGGATTCTTCTTAGAAGAAATCTCTTCTAATTTCCTTTGGTCTTTATTTCTTTATTTTTTTATTACCCATCCCTGTTAGGTTGGCATCATTGTTCCTAAACCCAAACATCACCAATAACTTTCCCTCTGCTAGAAGATATGGCTGAGAACACCACTGAGGGTCTCTCTCTTCCTTTAGTCTTGACCCCAAATTTTCTTGACAATCTCCACGAACTACAAGCTGAGCCGTTGCATCTGAAGTGAGTTTTGGAAGTTTAGACATTGAGCCAAGAGGTTTCCTAGGCTGATGTTCATTTGGAAATGAAATGCCAAACTGTCATATTTAAAAATGGAGTTTGGATAAAGATGAAAGTTTTGTAAACACGATGCTAACTAACATTTGGCCCTTTGCATATGCTTGCTCTATTTCTGAGTAACTCCCATAACCCTTTACCCTACTCTAATTAATTTCCATATTTTCTTAGTTATCCTAAATGTCACTTGTTTCTACAAGCTTTCTTTTACTACCATATCTGGCTAAATTCTCCCTGCTATGAGTTCACATTAAAAACTTAGTGAACTCTATGAAAACAACTTTCATTCCTGGTCTTTTTTTTTTATTAATCTGTAGTTTTACATTTATTTCTGAGTGCTTCATTTTTGTGTAACAACACCTCTTATGGTGTGATACACAATGGGTACTTCAATGTAGCTAGGATGTACTTCAATGTACCCATTAAGTGGGTACTCTGTACTTTAATGAATGAAGGATACACTTGGTGTCATGTTGACTGATTTTAATTATTGCCAACTATGATTCATGCCAATACTATTATGTTAGGATTGTCCTCAAGTCTCTGTGTGGAATCATACTGTTTATTGTTATATCCCTAATACCTATAGTTTTACCCTATACCTGGTCTTTATTTAGTACTCAATAAATATTTTTAAATGATCAATGACATAATAGGAATACCTACATTTATTATAGTGCTTTATGCTTCACAAAGCACTTTCAAAATATTTCATTTTTATAAATATTTTCCCTAAGGTCACACAATTAGCATGTAATGAGAGGATATGACGCATGCTGCTTCTACTATGTTCTGTCCAAAAATAAGTTGCTCTGGAAGGAGATCAGAGATGCTTCCTTCTCTATGTCAGTCTCTAACCAGTCACAGATGTTTTCTGATGCCATTTTTATTAAATGAATGTGACCTTACACTTTTATTACTGAAAATATTTATATTTAAAAAAGCCAGGCCTAACAGGCATATGAAAAAAATGTTCAACATCACTTGTAATCAGGGAAATGCAAATCAAAACTACAATGAGATACCATCTTACACCAGTGAGAATGGCACATATTTAAAAAACTAGCAACAACAAATGTTGCCGAGATTGTGGAGAAAAAGGAACTCTCCTGCACTGTTGGTGGGAGTGCAAACTGGTCCAACCACTATTGAGAGCTGTGTGGAGATTCTTCAACCTACTAATGATAGAGCTTCCATATGATCCAGCAATTCCAATCCTAGGTATTTACCCAAAGGACACAGAAACATTAATTCCAAAGGGCACCTGCACCCCTATGTTTATAGCAGCACTATTTACAATAGCTAAGCTTTGGAAACAACCCAAATGCCCAAAAACAGATGACTGGATCAAGAAGATGTGGTACATATACACAATGGAATATTACTCAGCAATCAAGGAAGATAAACACATGCAGTTTGCAGCAACATAGATGGATCATGCTCAGCAAAATAAGTCAGAAAGAAAAAGAAAACTACCAGATGGTCTCACTCATAGCAGGAATTTAGAAAACCTAAATAAGGGACCAGGAAAAAGACTAATTAATACAAAGCAAAAATCAAAATCAACAAGCAACTATAAACCAGAGATACACTACAGGTTGGCAGGGAGAGGAAGGATTAGGGTCAAAATAAGGGAGGTGCAATTGTACGGGGAATATAACCAAAATGAAAATGCATACATTGTGAAAAAAATGAAAAATGATGTAAGAATTATATAAAATATAAAAAAAATTAGTTAAGCAAAAAAAAAAAAAAAAAAAAAAGGCCAGGCCTTTGAAAAATATTTCCCTGATGTAATATTGTTCTATAAGGTTGCCAAAGAATTGGATTATGAAAACCCAGAGATTGTTGCTGTTGGACACATCTATGAAATGACAGTTTCAGTATATGATGACTTACATCCCTCCCATACAGGTAAGCTTGATAACATTTTCAAGGAACAAAAAGCCTTTTCCTCAGTCTCTTTGCCTTAGATTCTAAAATATAAAGATACATTATCTTTGGGACAGTTTGGTTAAGTGAGGCAAGGGAGGAAGAGGAGAACTAGGTAGACTTGTGTTGGAAGTTTTCAATCTACCTGGGAAGACTTTATCATCTCTTAGCAACAGACAACTCTTAGGCAATACACAATTAGTGCTCAGCATTAAGTATACTATAGTTCTAGCCATACAAATGCATCTTTGATGAGAGATCCTTAGAGCTAGGAGTAGTTAGGATGTATGGAGCCAAACCTTATGCTTGGGACTTCAGTAACTTTATGTTTAATGCTTTAGTCTGTATCAGGTTGCTATAACAAAATACCACAGACTGGGTGTCTTATAAACAGAAACTTATTTCTCACAGTCCTGGAGACTGGAAAATCCAAAGTCAAGGTACCAGCAGATTCAGTGTCTGATAAGGAAGCCTGCTTTCTGGATTATAGATGTCCTTTTCTCACTGCTTCAAATGGCAGTAGGCACAAGGGAACCCTCTGAGATCTCTTTTATAAGGACTCTAATCTGATTCATGAGGGCTCCACCTTTATAAACTACTTCCCAAAGTTCATTGCCAGCCCCCACTCCATCACATTGGGGAAATAGTTTTCAACATATGAATTTTGGAACTAACAGTCAGCCCACAGATTTCATAATGCCAGACATCTCTTATCTGGAAAGAATCAGATAACATGTAATCCAAACAAAAAGGTAATTGGGTGGTTTTCTGTATTTTGAGTGATTTACATCATATGGGTAGAACCATTATCAGCCCAAGCCAGGGGACACTTGCCAAGATACATAGCTCATTGTTTCATGAAAGTGCAGAGTGGCCACCTCTCTCTGGCATTTGTTTCTCTCATAACAATCCTATCATTTTGGATGAGCCTATGCAAGAATATGTCTTTGGTGCTTTGAGATTAAGTCCCCCCAGATTGCATGATCATAAATCTCTTGGCATGTGTGGATTTAATAGTCAGGTTTTTGCTAATTTTAAAACATCCTGAGGCACGGATTTGAATTGTGTGCTGTGGAGTCCGAGCAGGGTGCCCGCTAGTGAGTGAGTTTAGCCAATCACGCAACACCTGCTTCTCTGTTTATTGTTTAACAAGTAAAAACACACACGAAATGCTGCAAGAGTTCATTTCCATGTTAAATTACGTTACTATATTTTAAGAGTGAATTTGTTGTTGTAGAGGTATTTGTGAAAAAAAGGATTCATAGAAATTTCTGGATACATTTATTATTAAGTGTCTGTTGCAGCTGGATAATAAGATCATAAGTAATCTAGCAGGTGATTGGGAACAAAGCTATCCAAGAAAATGTGGGTGTCTGGGTGGAGAACATAAGTTTACTAGTAGAATGTCAATGTTTGTAGGGAGAGCCTAGAATATCAATGACATTTGAGTTTTATCTTTTGTGCCAAATGGTAGTTACTTGGGTCATTGAATTGAGAAAGACTGAGGTTGCATCAGAAGCAGTAGGAAAAAGTCCTTTGTCCTGGATATAGAAGGGTGGAGTGAGGGTATGTGTCTTTGCATTTGCAAGGAAAGGAAACTTAAAGCTGAATTTTAAGCAAAAGACCTAGAAATCTTCAAATCCCTTTTGACTCACTGATAGGAGACTAAGTTTTCAAAGGTGATTTGTAGACTGGAGTCACCCAACAATTTATTTGTAGACTGTGGTGATCTGTCGGAAACAGTAGGCCCAAAGTGTTCTTGTGTTTTCTTTTCTCCCCACTGGTGGAGTGTCATTGTTTCATGCAACAGCTTGTTACATAACCCAACTGACCTTCTGGGAAGAAAGCTTTATCTAGCAGCTATTCACTCTGATGGCCTAACTAATCTAAAAGGAATCCATTCCTTTCACCAGATTTGAGTCTTTTTTCTAAGATGGAAAGAAAAAAATCTCTCACAGTAATAAATCCACCTCCTCTCTGATTCTCACACTCCAACATATTCATTGCAACTGCTCATAAAGGATGCGTGTAACACCCCACATGTGGTTCACTCTATTTTTATAGGCCAACTCATTAGCACAATTTTCAGTCTTTAGGGATGCAATAAAAATCATAGTATGGCAAAACTATAAACAGCACCTGCTCTTGTAGCACATAAAAGGAATTTATTGAAGGAACTATGGGGACTTTCACATAAATTACCTGTGTCCACAGAACAATGCTTCTTAACTTTTCCTAGGGGTCACGGATATCTTTCAGATGCCAATGCAAGCTAAAGGCCCCTTATTTATAATAAAATATATCAAAATGTAAAAACTGCCATGAATTCTCTTAAGTAACAGCTTTATAGAGCCCAGATAAATTTTCTTGTTTGACATACGTGACATAGATTTTTCAAGAAAGATAATATAAAGCATTCTTCAGAACATTTCTAATAAATAATACACTAACATAGAATTTCCTTGTGAAATAAGTTTTGGGTTCAATGTATAGTTAGAGATCAAAATATGTAATGATTTCTCAGAAATCCTAAGAAGATTTGCTTTACAGAAACCTTTTTATCCTTGTTTAAACATTTTGCATTTGACATGTTAGCATCTCAGAGGAGACATTTTGGGAGTTTTGGGACATACAACTTGGTCCAGTGACTTACTAATTTTATGATCTTTGACAAAGATTTGAACTCTGTGAACCTCAGTTTTCTCATCTGCAAAATGGGGACAATAATATTAACGCTGAGTCTGTGCCTTGTGTAGCAAATGTTAATTACTATTTTATTTTTATTATACAAAGTTTCTCTGCTTTCAGTATGCTGGCTTTTATGTTTGATCATCAAATTCTTTCTTTTTTGATAACTTTCTCATATGATCATTTGAGCTTATTATTCTGAAATACAGAATTCCTCTTCTATAAAACACAATATACAAGTGTTTGGCTGAGATGAATGAAATGTAATTATTATTCTTCACTCAGCCTTTCCTAAGGTGAAAAAGACTTTTGGGGCATCATCTCATTTTGTCTTCCTATACGTACTTGTGTAGAGAGATTGAAATAAATGTGATTCCTTTTTTTGTTGATGATGAAGCTGGGACTGAGAGGTTGAGTTTGTTCTAGGTTACAAAACAAGTTTCAAAGTCAATCTTTGAATGTGGGTTTTCCAAGTCTCCTAGGATACATATTAGAAGCAGAATGTAGAATGTTATATGCTGGTATGGGTGACACTCCAACAAACTTGTTAATGGAAGAGATTGTATTCATGACAAACATAACAAGTTATCTTGTGTAAAGTACACAATTGTACATTTATATACCACATATATACATATGTATCACCATTATATAAAATAAAATATGGCATATAGTGTATTACATATCTTTGACTAATTGCTTTGGCTGGCCTGAGAAATTCATTTATGTTCCTTGAGAGAGAGAATCCGGAAACGGATCATTTGGGTGCTGAAAGAATCCCATTATAGTTTCAAAATCCTCCACTAAGTCTATTCCTATGAGCACACTTCACTTGTTTGTAGAAGAAAATCACCACCACAACAAAGCATTCACTCACCGTTCAATTTTGCAGTAACTGTGACAGTCATCATAGAGATTGCTCCTGTCAATGATTTCAGCCCTGTTTTTGAAGATACACACTATTCATTCTCTGTTCCAGAAACATCAGGAGGTAAGAGAGCTCTTGCTTCTGTGGTGATCCAGCATGCACAACCTTTTTTTATTTCCATGCAAGCAAGGAAATGCCTACTGGGTCTCAAATGAGTGAACAGTGGAAAAAAGACATATGTTGACAAAACACAAGCAGGTGAGGGCACTTTATGGAGCGCCAGACCTTCAGAATTAGTTTTCATTGGCGATGCCCTCAGTATATCATCCTCATGGTTCCCCAAAGCCTCTTGTGAAATCTGATATGAGATCTGGGACTTTTGACTAGTACACAAGATCTTAATTTTATTTTCCTATTCTTTCCTCTGGCTTCTGAAGTCTAAAGAAGGTAAGGACAATGTGGCCATCACTCAGGCACTTTAAATTCTGTCAATCTCTGGGCTTATATTTCAGGTAGAGTCTAGATCTTGGTCAGGTACCTGTCTCAACCATGAGTTATATATGAATAAGGATATATTAGCATAAACCAAGGAACATTAGATTTGGAAGGGACAACAGAGGTATTACTGTGTTTCCTACCATCCAAGAGAGGAACATGTGCATGCCTTCCTTGGCATCTCTGGGTGATGGTTGTTCCATGCTTTACTTGGATACCTGAAGGGATCGAAGGACACAGTTGTGTGCTGGATTCAAATCATACTGAATTTACAAGAGCCAATGGTGAAAATTTAATAAATTTTATGATGTGATCATTTATAACAGTCCCTAAAAATAAAATAATATAAATTTAGTTATATGCATTATATTAAAAACAAAATGCTCAAATCTTAGCACTTCTTTTTTACATTACTATTTTACCACTACCTATCCTACATATTTGAGATTATTTATTTAGATTGGATCTTCATGGTAAAATTCTATATACATAATGATGTGTTACTACCTTTTTCCAAGTTAGTGTAATTACATTGATAGCTTAACATTAGCAGCAGTGGCAGTATTTACACCATGTAAAGAGGTAAATATTACATATTGGGCCTTGATTCTTTTTTTTTTTTTTTTGATTATTTGAACTTAAGAAAATGCTAGAGAAAATGTTAATAATGCAGATTAAATATGAAAGTCTGTTGGGTCTGAAGCTATTACTGTGAGTCACAAAAAGTATGGAAATATTCTGGTAATGAACATCATTATCCAGTTAGCAAAGAAGCCATTCCATCATTAATGACTAGTGGAACTCTGACATTGTTTCATGTGTACCTTTTTCTTTAACAAGGAAAACATTAAGATTTATGTTTGAATTACTTTCTCTTGCCAATTGCAATCATAGGATGACTAGGGATAGGCAAGTTAGGCAAAAAATCAATGAAAGCATCCCATGAATTAATTTTCTATTTGTACATTTTATGTTTTGAAGATAAAATGCATTAAAATATAAAACACTTCTATGTTTTCTTAAGCATATTTTAATACCTTCTGGCTCAAGCATAATGGTTGAGGAAAAGGATTTAGAATTTTGAATTATAGCCCTGTTGATTTGGGAGGGCTGGAAAGATCTAACCTTTTTATTTTACTGTGAGAAAACTGGGGCTGGAGAGAGAATTGGGTCATAAAGCTAGTGAATGGCAGTTCATGGCTAATTGCAGACATCCACATTTCTGGCCCAGTTCTCTGTTTAGTATTCCAGGTTGCTTTTCTTGGATGACTTTTGGTGACTTAGATCATTAGAAGTCTGAAAACAAATTGTGAGAATTCATACAAAGAGATAAGTGGATCTTTCCTATGTGTGCTGATTCACACATAGAAATGTGATTTAGCAGAAAACCATGAATGTTGGAGTCAATTTTTGTCTCTGTCATTATTAGCCAAATGCCCTTAGGCCAGTCATGTAACCTGTGTGCCTTCAAGTTCTCATCTGTGAAATGGAGATTATGGTTCACTATGTCAGAGTTGAGATGAAGGTTAATTCACAATTATATGAATGTTAAGTACATGACCTATTACCAACAGCCAGCACAAGGCCTCCTGGTGGTGCAAGGGGTTAAGCACAGCACTGTGAAGCTATCTGCAGCCTCTGCAGCATGAGATCAATCCCCGGCTGACCAGGGAGCTACCCACATGGCACAGTAGACCTCTCCTATCTCACCCGCTGCTCCCCTCAGCAGTGTATTTCAGTCATTCTGCCTGTCCTGCTCCCCACTATGTCTCTGGTGGGTCTTCTCACCCCCTGCACCTCTGGCCTGTATTCCAGTTCTTGTATGCATAAATAATAAATCTTTAAAAAAAAACTTATTAAAAAAATAGCCAGCACAACATTGCCAATAATAATAGCTTCTAACATTTACTGAGTGCCTACAATGTGCCAGAACTTTTTCTTTTTTTTTAACCAGCTCTGTTTCTCCCTAGCAGTGTACACAAGCCAAATGAAATTAGGGATTATTTTTTTTTTAGTGGATACCCATCATAGAAGACAAAAACTTCACGACCCAGTGGCAATTTTCTTGAAAGGAAGAAATTGAAAAGTTAATGCTACTCTGAAAACAAACTCTCTACAGAATATCAAACATTTAGCCTGTAGACCTCAAGTATATTAAAAAAGAATCCATTAATGTGAAGACTTTTTTTCATGCTGTGTTGATTAGCTCAGAAGATGTCAGTGTGCCTTGAGGACTACATGAAGTTTTTTCCCCTACAAAATTATAGGAATCCATATCTTTAAAATAAAAAAAAAATTGTGATGTTATCCGAGGAGTAACTGAATCTCTCATAGACAAAAACCTTCTGGAGGCAGCTAGGCTTAGGCAAGAAATTTCTTTATCAAAATGATTTAGATGAAAATGAAATCATGCTGGGTTGCAAGTCACAAGGGAAAACATGTTTCATTTCCAATAGGTTCTGATGAGGAAGCTTGGCAGAGTTGCAGAGCTTTATAATTATTTTAAACTTTAGCTAAAGATGCTTGAGATAGCTTTTCATTTCATTGAAAGATTAATTTTACACCTACAGAATAAGCTTCCTATTATACTTAACCAGGTGTTAAATGTGAAAATGATACCATCCTTGCCCAGGACTATATGAGAACGATGGCAATCTTACTCTTAATCTATTTTATGTAGACTTGTGATAACTTTCTCTTAATAATGATACCTTTACATTTGCAATAGAATGGACTTTTTATGTGCTGGATTTGTTAAAATGAAACATTATGTTCTTTTTCACAAATGTGTTTTCTGTTCTTGGTATTAGGAGTTGTGTTCATTGTCTGCTTAATAACACATTATCAGAATCAAATAATGTGGAAACAGAGAAAGCGATCTTGGGAGGTTGGAGGTGGTGGGGGATATCACCTGAAGGGGTTTCTTCATTGTAATTTTTTTCTTGATTATGAACAACCAAATATCCTATCCACAAGTTGGGAAGTGTAGCCATTTGTATGGTCGTTTCTACTGAGTGGAGGAGGTTAGGTAGCTTCCCTAGAATTTATAACTCAGTGAGAAAGGATTGAGGGGTTAAACTACTGAATCAGTTATCTATCACCGATAAGTATGTGGTATAATGAAATCCACCCTCCCCAAAAGGATACTACCATAATAGACATTTATTTAACCCATGTGTCTGGAATTGGCTGGTTTGTCCCTCTGGAAATTGGCTGCATTTTGCTGACATAGTTTCAGTCTGATCAATGGATATTGTGACTCCTTTTCCATCCTGCAACAGGCCAGCCTCAGCATGTTTTTGTGGGACAGTAAGAGGTATAGGAGTAAGGCAAGCCTAATCACACATGTGTTTTCCAGGTCTCTGCCACAAGGTTTGACAATGTCCCATTGGCCAAAGGAAGTCACGGGAGAGGGCACTATAAAGATATGTGGTGAAGAGAATAAACATGGGAAAGATAAAGAATTTGGGCCTATTCATGTGATCAAACTACGACACCCATCTTTCAAAAGATTATTTGGGAAAACTATACACCGAGATTACAGCAAAATGATTTTAAAAACATGGGCTGTGGGTTCAGCAGTCACAGATTTGAATCCTGACTCCTACCACTACTATCACACTAGATTGTATTTTCCTTATCTGTAAATGGAGACAGTATAGGCACATAGATCATAGGACTGTTGAGAAGATTTAATGTAAATATCAATTAATTCTTATATGGCATTTATTATATCCTAGTCACTATTCTAACTGCATTATGTATTTTAACTCATTTAATCCTCACAGCAATTCTGTATGATAGATACTGATACTATTACTAGTTTTCAGATAAAGAACATGAGGGCCAGAACAATATACAGAATTTTCCAAAGAGTTGTATCTATATATCTAGTCAATGGCAGAGCTGAGATTCATAACCTAGGCTTTGGGTTCCAGAATCAATGTCATTATCTTAGCATAATGCATGGTAGAAAGTAAGCATGCAACTCATGTAAGCTAATTATTATAAATTTATTGTTATCTCATATAATGTGACTTATCCCATGTGGTTTAAAGTGCCAGAAAACTATAAATTTCCTTCCATCATGTAATCGAGCTTTTCAAACACGTTGTCCAAAAGAAATTAGGTTGATCCTTTGAGAAACTACAGCACTGGATGAGAAGCAAAGAGCTGTTAGACTTCCTAAAGTAGGGTATCTGCAGGGCAAGCATGAATATTAATAAATGTTATTGGCAGCTTTCTATAAAGTTGGAAGAGTGACTGCTATTGATGAAGACTATCCACCTAACTGTGTCAAATACAAAATAATCAGTGGAGACATCCAGGTTATACAAAGATTCTGGATTCATCCTCTCTCTGGAATGATTGAACTCATCACACAGCCAGACTACGAGACTGTGAAGCAATACAACCTCACTGTGGAAGGTGTGGACTGTGATAGATTTCATCCTCGCACAGGACTGACCATGGTGAGCAGTGTGCTCTGGGTTTTGATGGAATAGAGATGATCTATTAAGTTCCAATTTATTTCAATCAGAATGGTCAAAAACAACAACAATGTAGAAAGTTACAACTTTCTCTATTTCCCAAGTGTTCTATAACTATTATTGGTTTTAAACTTTGGAAGTTTGGGGCTTGGCTGAGAATAAAAAATTTACTAACTTGTCTCATTCTCATGAGATTAAAAGAAATAAGAATAGTAAACACATATGTAGCACCGACAAGTGCCAGTTCCTGTTCTAGGTACATCTTAGGGAGTTTATCTTCACCTTAAGATTTCAAGGTGACAATGTTATTATCATTTCCATTCTAAAAAGGAGGAAACAGAGACAGAGTTTAGGAAACATAACTGAAGTTACCTATAAGATTTGTTGAGCTGGACTCAAACCTTGACTGTCACTCATGAAAAGTGATGTTTAGAATGAAGGTAGTTAACCAAGGTGCTTTTTTTTTTTTGGCATCAGAATAGGGGGAAGTGTGGACAGATTCATACTTTTAATTGTGTTATTTTTTTATTGAGGTAGTATTGCTCTACAGCACTGTATATGATTCAGAGAGCTATACCTCTTAACATCTCTTCAAATGTATGTTACCACACCATATCCCTCAACAAAGTACACAGAATCTTCCACCACAGTCTATCAGCCCCTTCCCCGCTTAGTTCTCTACCCATTTATTCCCCCTCTGGTAGCCTCAATCCTGTGGTCAGCTTTTTGAGGGTTTATTTTGCTTTAGTTTTGTCTGCTGCTTTGTTTTATTTCTCTATATTCCATGTATGAATGAAATGATGCAATATTTATCTTTCTCCTTCTGAATTATATTGTTTAGCATAATCCCCCCCATCCATACTGTTGCAATAGCACTATTTCATCCTTTTTTTTTTTTTTTTTGAACAGTTGAATAGTATCCCTTTGTATACCACATCTTCTTAATCAGTTCATCTGTCTTTGGACACTTAGGTTGTTTCCATAACTCGACAATTGTAAGTAGTGCGGCAGAGCACATGGGAGTGCATAGAACCATTCAAATTTGCATTTTTGCATTCTTCAGGCAGATACCTAGGAGTGGCAGATATCTATTGAATCACACAGTAAATCGATTTTAAATGTTTTGAGAAACTTCCATATTGTTTTCCACAGGAGTCGGAGTAGTCCACATTCCCACCAACGGTGTTCTGTTTCCTCTACATCCTCAATACTTGTTTTGCTTTTGTTTTTGTTTATATATATATATATATATATATATGTTTTTGTTTATATATATATGTTTTTGTTTATATATATATATATATATATATATATATATATATATATAGGCCATTCTCACAGGCATGAGTTGGTATCTCATTGCGGTTTTGATTTGCATTTCCCTGATGATAAGTACTTTTCATGTTCCTGTTACCTGTTAGCCACTTTTTTTTTTTTTTTTTTGAGAAATGTCCGTTCTCCTCTTCTACTTTTTGTTGAGTTCGGTGAGTTGTTTGTAAATCTTAGATATTAGTTCTTTCTCAGAAGTATGGTGTGCAAATATTTTCTCCCATTCAGGAGGGTTTCTTTTAATTTTAATAATTTCTTTTGCTGTGCAGACTCTTTTCAGTTTGATGTCCCATTTTGTTTCTTTTCATTTTTGTTTTTGTTACCTTTGCTGTTGGAGTCAAGGCTTCAAAGACATCCCTGAAGTCAATGCCATGGAGTGTTTTGCCTGTGTTTTATTCTATGTGCTTTATAGTTTCACATATTACACTCAAGTCTACTTGTTCTTTTTAATTGAATTACCATTGGTTTATGCCCTTGTTTATGTTTTGGAAATACAGGTTTTCCACCTCAGGTGTCATCACCACAGCACACACACAACCAAATCTCCCGTTGTCAAATCTTTAATCCATATTGAGTTAATTTTTGTGTGCGGTATGAGGTAGTTGTTTAATTATTTTGCATATAGCTGCGCAGTTTTGCAAACATCATTTGTTGAAGAGAATTTCCTTTCTCTATTGTATACTATCCACTCCCTTTTCCTTTCCCCTTTGTCATAAATTAGCTACCTATATAAGTATGGGTCTATTTCTGGGTTCTCAATTTACTCATAGATTTGTGTTTCTTTTTTTATTTCAGTACAATTCTCTTTTGGTCACTATCATTTTGTAGTATGGTTTGAAGTATGGGATTGTGATACCCCTGTGTTTTTGTTTTTGTTGCCTTTGTAATGGAGTTGTATAATTCCTGAAGTATTTCTTCATTTTCTTCTTACTCTGTACTTCTCCCTCTTCTACCACCTAGGTCCTTTATGCTTTGTTATCTTCAAGGTCTGATTTCATCCTCTATTAAGTCTATTCTGCTTTCATAGTCTTCTCTAGAATTTTTTTTAATCTCATTATTGAGCACTTTATATCCCTAGGCACTGTTACTTTCTTATTTAAAGCTTCAATTTCTATTTTCTGTTCATTATTTTATTTACTTCTGTTTCTTTAATTCATGAGGTCATTAGTTTTTCTGAATTTTGGTGTATCTCTGATTAGCTTTTCTGATTTATTTTGTATAATTTTTATGTCCTTTTCTGCATTGTCATCCATGTCTTTGATTTTTTCTTTTTTTGGTACATTATAGCAATTTTGAATTCTCTGACAGGGATCTATAAATCTTCCGTGTCTTTGTAATTGGATTCTGGAGAATTGTTTTCTCTTTGTAATATCATATTCTCTTGAAGTCTCAAGATGCCATCCATGTATTTTCTTGTCTGCTCATTTTGCTGCTTCACATTTCCCTATTTAAAAAAAAAAAATCTGTAGCAGTAGTAGAGAGTTGAACTACTTTTACTCTTCTAGTAGGTGGGTCTCTGGTTTTATTTGACTGTAGTTTTTTTGGCTTTCTTGGCTTCCATATGTCCTGATACTTGATCTTGCAGTTGCTGAGTCAGAGGATAGGGGAAGGGTATGAACTGGTCCATTCACTTGTTAAATGTGCCCGGGAAGGAGGCGGCTCATGTTCGTGGCACCACTGCTGTCTCTCCTCTCTGGGGTTTCAGAAGGGAGACTCGGGTCTGTGTGCTTCCCCTCAGTCAAGGGTATGTGCTTCCATACCAGTTCTGGCAGCTGCACATGTATATGACTCCCACCCTGGACCAGAGTCTCCGGTGTTTTTTTTCCCACCTACCTCTTTCAATGAAACATGACTCTGACTCCTCTCTGTTGCTGTCTCTGTTGGTATGTGTTGTCCAAAGTGTTCTAGCTTTGCACCAACCCACAGGACTTTCTGGGTATATTGTTCTTCTGTTAACTATTAGATGATCCTCTTGGGAATGAAGCAGAGGACCTCCTCTATCACCATCATGGTCCACTTTCTGAATTTATACATTATTTTAGCAACATCAAAGGCCTCTTGAGAGATATTAAAAGTGAATATTGCTGTATTGATAATGTATATATTTTAATGACTACAAGTCTTCATCATCTTTATTAGAAAAGAGTCAGAAATGGGACTGAAGAATTTAAAAGTCCCCATCTGGTCTGATGATTCACTCTGCATACCTTCCTACTGTATAGAGCCCTTGGTTTGCTGCTTACTGGGATGAGGTTTCCTGAGTATGTCATTCTGAAGAAAATGTCAGGCCTATTCAGATCAACAATTAGAAAGACTTTCACAGGGACTGAACGATAGTCAAGCAGATGGGACTATGTGGCTTAGTTTGTCTCAGGAAGATACCTATGAGAGTGATATTTACACCTAGACACTTGTGGAAGCTTTTCCTGTAGACATTTGAGAGTGTGTGTGTGTGTGTGTGTGAATTATACATATATATATGCATACATATATACACACATATATATGTATGTGTGTATATATATATATATATATATATACACACACACACACTCCCAAGAGTATAAAATGACACCACTTGCAGCTATCATACATTTATTACAAATGCGAAGAGGGGAAAACAGATTTTAAAAAATATAAGTTCAAGTGACTTTGTTCTGAAAAGAAGAATTTATGTCTAGCTTATATATAAAGCAGCAACTTGTTCAATCTCTTTCCATTTTTTAAAAACAAATATTTATTGAGTGTTCACTTTGTGTACAACCTGGGTTATGAAATCATATACCTCTTCAGGGAGCTTAAGATTTTTAATATATGAAAAGATAAAGAGTATATAGCAGAGTTTAAAAGTTAATCAACTTATCCAAGTTTTTTTTACCCAGCTAGAGAATAATAGAAGAATTATTTTTAGGCATTTAATTACTATCATGTACCCTAAATTATTTCTTTAGTCCATCAGCAAATCCTGTTGTCTCTACTTTCAAAATATATCCTGAATCCTTCTACATCTCACCCACCCATCTCAACCAGCTCCCATCCTGATTGTGCCCTTGTCATTCCTCGTCTGGTCTAGTACAGCAGCCTCCTAACTAGAATCTGCACTTCCAGTCATTCCCTTTATAATCTATTCTTCACATAACAGTCAGAGTGATCCTTTAACAATACAATTCTCCCTTTTTCTCAAAGCTTTTCTATGGGTTCCCATCACAGTTAACATAAGCGCCAATGTTATTTCTGTGGTGATGTGCTCCGGATGGTCTGGTCTCTGTCTGTCTCTGTCTTCAGCTCCTAGTTCTCTCCCTTTTACTTTGGTCCAGGCACATGAACTTCTTGCTGTCCCTTCAACACACCAAGAATGCTTGCAACTAAAATCCTGTGCCCCAGATAGCCACTTGGCGCACATTCTCACTGAAGTTGCATTTCTGCCTAAAGGATACATGCTTCCTAGGGCCTTTTTTGTTGTGTGTTGGTGAAATTTTGAAGCAACTCATGTGTCCCTCATTAGGTGCCTGAGTAAGAATAGTGTGGTAGGTATATACATGGATCACCAAGAATCAAGAAGAAATAGAAAACTAGTTAATCAAACAAATATAGAAAGAGCAAGAAAACATGATGCTGTGTGTGAAAAGTAGGATATAGGAAAGACCATAGCAAAATACTGTTTATGTAAGTCAAAATCACATAACCAAATAGTACATATTCTGTGAGGATAAATGCTTATATGAGGACATATATCAAATATGGGGGAGGAAAAAAGGAATGAGAACAACAAAAAAAGACCTTCTCTGCACACTTTATTAAAAGTTTCATTAGCTATTCTCTCTCCTTAACCTGCAGAACATCAATTACTGTATGACATTGCTTAATATATTTACTTGCTGATATGTTTGTCACTTTTCCTTTTCCTTTAGAAAATAAATTGTAATAGCGTAGGGAGTTTCTTTTGTTTACCACTGTACCTCCTGGGTCTAGATTAGTGTTTAGTTGAGCGCTAAATAAATGTTCTTTGAATGAAAGAATTTATCCTCTCAACAATCCTAGGAAGGGAGGGATTGAGAACTCCTTTTTATATATGAGGAAAGCAAGGTTAAGTCACTTGGTCCAAATAAAGAACCTATCAAATGGAAGGCTCAAGGTTTTAATAAAGATTTCTGGTTTGTGGTGCTATTTGCATTATGTTGCAGCAATCTTTTTAAAACCATAGGATTCCTTACATGTTAAACAGAGTACAGGGCTATATTCAATGTAAAAAGAAGCATGATGGAGTTATTTCCCAAGAATTTAGCTGTGCTGTTAAAATTTTACAAAATTTTTTTTTTAAAAGATAATACTTGCAAATATGAGCACACCGGGGATTCTTCTGCAAATGTTGTTGAGAGAGTTATTACTTACTCATCTAAGAGGTGGGCAGATAACCTTTTTAGGCTGACTGGTATTTGATCACTGACATTTTAAAATCCTTGAAGTTTTGATCTTTTCCCATGTAAATCACAGTTTCCCAGTTTGCAGTATTTTAATTAAGGTTGATAGTAGACCCTAATTAAGATCTGAGGATACTTTGAAATGCCCTTGCCAAAAAAAATATCATTAGTGGATGGTGAATAGAAGACCCCTACATTAAGGAAAAAGGAGTAAAATCAGGATTTGTTGGCAGTTAAACAGATGTATTTAAATGTTTCAAGGGATTACAATTTTTAGAGGCTCCATTCTCTAGCTTTCCTTCTTTATCATTTATATCATTTGTGAGCTTTTCACAGGCTCTTTTAATGAGCCGGAAGTTCTCCCTAACAGCCGCACCAAATGTCACGGTTGACTTAAGAATAATAAGCCAATTGACTGGTTGATTGACAGGCAGAATCCAAATATGCAGGAACATTTCTTCAAACTCAAAATTCTAGACATTTTTAGTTAATAATTCTGAATGATCTGTCTCTACCTAGGTACTTATTTCTGATTTTGTGTATAAATAGTCACATGATGTGAATATGACGCTTCTTTCTCCCTCATTACTGACAGGTCACTATTGACATAGAAGATGAGAATGATGAAGCACCAGACTGCACACCCTCGCTCTATAAGGCAGTCATTTTTGACAATGCTGCTGCTGGGATGAACGTCAATGGCTTCAAACTAAACTGCCACGACAGAGATTCACAAGATTTTGAAATGCGCTTTGAGATGGTTTTGGGTGATAATTTTGTAATTTGTTTTAATCATGAGCATGTGTCAAATTGACATTTGTCATGCTCTCTTCGATATGATATGGCTTTAGAAATAACTATGGTTATGAAGTTCATTTCATGGTATAGCACTATGTTTCCTCAAGGAAGCTCTTCATTTTCACATGAACAGTTCATTCCTCTTCTGATAGGACTGTCTGTAATTTCGATGCTATTTGACAATGATGAAACTTGGACTTGCTTGGGAAACACTGAAGGTTAAGTTTCAAGCAACTGAGTCTGCTGTCAGCGGGACTAGCAGAAAATAGCAGCTACTTTCCATATGATATTAATTCAGATTCACTAGATGTTTTCAACTGTATTATAGTTGGAATCACACAGATCCAGATCTACTTTAGTCATCAGCTTGTTACATATACAAAACATTTTTTATTGGAGACCAAATATGTACTAGGAGACAGGTACACCATTGTTTTCTAAGACAGACAGGGATCCTGTATCATGAACTCACTGCTCACTAAGCTATTAGTAACAGCAACAATTATCGAATTATAAAGTATAACAAATTCTATAGAGGAAAGCTGAGTACACTGCAATAGTATAATAAGGAGAACTATTTAAAGCATGATGTACTGTCAGAAATCTGAAGGAATGGCAGCATGGACATCAGCAAACTCATTATCAATTATTCATAAAGACTAGTTCATTGTCTGCTTCTGTTGCTGGAGGACAAATTTCAAGAAGGCGGGGATTAAGCACATCTTGTTTGCAGCAGTGTCACTAGCACAGTGGAGAGTATTTGAAACTTAGTAGGGCTCAGTAGATATTTCTGGTCTCACTGGTGCATTTGATACTGATTTAGACCACACTGAAACTGGGAACATAATTGCTCTGATAAAGCAAGGAAGGGGAAGCAATTAGGCAGAATGACGTGATAATAATGTAAACCTGTTGACCACATATGGGAATCAAACTCATGGAATTAACATTTAAAACTTTCTTTTTTCTTAACTGGCTGAATTTATTGAGTGCTTGATCATAATTTTATTACAGGCTTTGTATAGAAATAGGAATTCAGAGTACCGTAGAAATTTTATTTCTATATCTATTGCATTTCAAAAATAATTTAAGGTAGCTTAAAAAAAGAACTTTCACTATGTATTAAAATTATAAATTTTGAATTATTCTTTTTCAAGGCAATGAGAACAATCATTTTGGATTTGACCCAACTCGAGGTTCAAATACTCCGAAATTAATTGTGAAGAATCCCTTTAACTTTGAGTCTGGAGCTGAACTGCAGCGGCGGTACCATCTTGTGGTGCACATCACTGATGACAACCTGAAATATGGCAAAGCCCCCAAGCCTAGGACAGGCACTGCTGTTATAGACATTTACGTGGAAAGGGCCAATCTACCACCACCTCCAACCACCAGTTCTGAAGTAAAGAGTTATGGAGTTTAATTGGGGTCTGAATGTGGGAAATACCCTATTGTATATTTGAATTTCATCTGGAAAGGCTAACAGAATGCTGAGGGCAGCACCCTGATCCATTTGCCATTCCATTTGGGCATTACCCCATTCAGTTGCCAGGCCCTTTGTAGAACACACATCTGTGCATATAAACTGTGATCATTACAGGTGAAACATAGAGGATCCCAAGTGACTGATTATGCCTCAACAATCTAAAAGACCTCCCCACCAAAAAGGTCCACTTATCAATGAATCCTATCAATTAAAAATCTCTACAAATGGGCCTCCCCTGGTGGCACAGGCAGTTGAGCACTCCACTGTGAAGCTGTCCGCAGCCTCTGCAGTGCCAGTTTGATCCCAGCCGGCTGGCGAGGGTCCCACATGGAGCTGCAGACCTCTCCTGTCTCGTCCACTGCTCCCCTCAGCAGTGTATTTCATCAGTCTGCCTGTTCTGTTCCCTGCTCTGTCTCTAGTGAATCCTCTCACCCTCCCGTGCATCTGGCCTGTACCCCAGTTCTTGTGTAAATAAATAAATCTTTTTTAAAAAAATAAAGATACCCAGAAAAGGGAAAGAAATCTTAAAAAAAAAAAATCTCTACAAATGGAGATTCTCAAATACCATTCTCTGGTGGCCATGCTGTCATAGTAATGGGCACCTACTATGTGCTAGGCAGTATACTATATGGTTAATATTCACCATTTCATCTAATGTCTAATCTAATCCTGGTAAGGTTAGCAGACCTGTTGGTATTTTATTTTTTCAAAAAAGATATGTAAAACCTCTGCAAACTCCAGAATGGTCTTTGAGTCACCCAAAGATAAAGTATATTCAGTAGATTTTATCTACTGAACAGGTTAGTGTATTTTATTTTTTTCTATCCTTCAAATAAAAGGCTCTTTTTTACTCTATGGATGATACATCTTGCCAGTAGAATAATTGATTTTCTTTTTTTTTTAATTTTTAGTTTTTTTTAAAGATTTATTTTTTTTTATACAAGAGCTGAGGTACAGGCCAGAGGCAAGGGAGGGTGAGAGGATTCACTAGAGAGACAGCATGTAGGAGAACAGGCAGACGACTGAAATACATTGCTGAGGGGACCAGCGGGCCTGACAGGAGAGGTCTGCCACGCCATGTGGGACTCTCCCTGGCTTGCCAGGAATTGAACCTGCACTGCAGAGGCTGCGGACAGCTTCATAGCGCTGTGTTCAACCTGTTGCGCCACCGGGGAGGCTCTAGAATATTTGATTTTCAAGAGCACACTGTTCTCTCACATTGCACAAAAGGGTTAATCCTGTGTAGATAATAGAAGTATATTAACCTAAAAGGATGCTAAATACCATCTAGTTCAACCTTTTAATTTTACAGGTGGGAAAACTGAGGGTGAAGAGAAATGGTTTTGTTCAAGTTCCCAGAGCATGCACTGCATACAATTCAAGTCTTCAGATCCTGAGATTTGTGCCTAAGAGGCTGGGATGACCCTCACTATCATCTGTGGTGTTAAAAAAATCCTATATATCTTAGAACCCCCCGCCCCCCAGCCAATAGAGGACTACAGCGCATAGTGATGCTACTCTGTGTTAACAGATGCTCTCGGAAAACACAAACTAATGCTCTGTTTGCTTTGAAATAATGTTTTCCAGCAAAGAAAAGGTCTCACCATTGTGTACACAGCTATCAACACATACAAGTCCAGTGACTGGTACATTCCTTTCATCTTCACTCTGATGGCTGTTTTCTTTGTTGGGTTGATTTCCTGGGTATGTTTTCTACTTTGGAGATATGGAAACATTACAGAATGCTGTCAGAGCCTGGCCAAGAATGTCTCCAAGCCCAAATCCAAGTATGTGATTTTTTTCTTTCTCAGCTTCCGATACAAAGGGTTTTGGTGTTTATTCTGAGGGCTACTGCCAAAGTTTGCTTTTTGGGGGACACGGAGAAAAAGGCTTGGTCCAACTTACGTACTCCAAATGTACTCTTTCTTAGAATAGGCGGGGGAGGTTGCTTAAAAAAAATAGCAACAATACCTTCATGGGTTCTATCTGAAACAGATTTCCTTTGAGAAAAAGTACTTTTTTAAAAAAAAATTAAAAAGACAAGCCAAACAACTTTACATATTAATTTGATGTGAGCAGTTCATGGGCAGGTGTCTGATAACCACTGGAACTAGCCTAGACACGATGAATTCATGTAGTCGCTCCATCCTTGTTTAGAATGGATGTGACACTAGGCAGAAAGGCCAAAGATATGGATAGAAAACACAGCTGTGCTAATCTCTATCCAAAAATAGTTCCTTAGTGTGTAGCATATCATGACTTCAAAACAGAGTTGGATATGAATTTTTATTAACTAAGTAAAGATAATTTATGATCTATTGACGGGGCTGGCAATGGTGAATGAAGCCAATTTATTATTCCCCATGGAACATCTAACAAACTGGATGTGGGAGTGATGTGATAATAGTCTTGTGCTGCAAGACGTGATATACTTTTTAGCCATGTATTAGCATAATGAGGCTGATATTTTGTCAAATTTTCTTTTCACACAGACGAAGAAAGCATATTGCAGGTAAGACATAGGTTGCTAATTGTCACATTATTAAAATTGTGTGATTTTAAAAAGTCACTCATCTGATACCTGTCTTTTATTTACTTATGTATTTGAACAGAAGATATAAACCTAAAGGAAAACATTATCTCTGGAAGCAGAAATAAAAAACTAGAAGTACTAACTGTAAGTACATTTCTGTGATCTTTCTCCAGTAGGAGAGAACTAACTATGTATTTCCTTTAACTGGTGCTCAATGAAAAGTTCCCATACATAGAAATGTACTCAGGCATAGTAGAGAGGAAATAAAATACTTTCAATTTATGTTTCTGTTGAATTTTTGTGCACTACAACGCTAGAATTTCAGATCCAGTGTTAGAACTTAATTTAGGTCAAAATTTATCTCAAATGTTGTATGTGTGTTCCACAAACAACTATAGACCCATGGAAATCCAGCATTATGTACCATTACTTTAAAATAAGATCTTGATTTGGTAACACAATGTAGATGTGATAGAGCTGAGTAACTTCTTCAACCCTGGAGTTTCTCAGTAGGTGGTATAATCTGCACCCTTGAATATGTAAGCCATCTCGCAATTGACTGACACTTATTAATTAACTGATCCACATAAACAACTGTACAAGGGTAAGGTTGGTTCCAGAAAGTATAAATGTGGAGTGGAAAAAGGGCACTTTTAGTCTTCATCTTTTTTTTTCCTTTCCACCTTCCACCCCATTCATCAAAGACATTCCTCTCAGGCCTCACTGGTGGCGCAGGTGGGTGAGCGCCGCACTGTGAAGCTGTCCACACGCAGCCTCTGCAGCGCATGTTTGATCCCTGCCAGCCAGCGAGAATCCCACATGGTGCGGTAGACCTCTCTTGTCTCGCCCGCTGCTCCCCTCAGCAGTGTATTTCAGTCAGTCTGCTTGTTCTGTTTCCCGCTCTGTCTCTGTTGAATCTTCTCACCCTCCCGCACATCTGGCCTGTACCCCGGTTCTTGTATAAAAATAAATAAATCTTAAAAAAAAAAAAGAGGACATTCCTCTCTGAGTCCTGACAGACCTTGGCATTGATTCATGAGCTGGTTCTCTTTCTATGCCTCCTTCCTCTGCCTCTTCCTTAGGAACTGAGGCTAGCTAATTTGTATTAGTTCTAGCTGCCATAACAAAATCCCACAGAACAAAAGTTAATTTTCTGATAGTTCTGGAGGCTGGAAATACAAGATGGTGTTGGCAGATTTGGTGTCTTCTAGGGTTTCCTTGGCTTGCAGATGGCTGCCTTCTTCCTATGTCTTCACATGGCTGTCCCTCCACATATGGTGTCTATGTCCTAATCCAGTTCTAATACCACCACCAGACATATTGGATTAAGGCTGACAATAGAACCTCATTTTACCTCAATGACCTTTGTGAAGGACCTATTTCCAGATGCACATTTTGGGGACTTAGGCCTTCAACATAAGAATTTTGGGGGAATACAGCTCAACTCATAACACCTTTTATCCCAAACAAGGACTTTATATCAAAGAAAAGATCTGAGTTAAGGGAGGGCATGGTGGGCAACTGATGTTGGCAGAGGCCCTGGTGGAAGGCAAGAAAAACAGGGAGGTTTTGGACCCTAGGTTGCTAGCCCTCTATAGACTAAAAGATGAGGTAAATATGAGAAGTTGTCTGCTCAAAGTACTCAACACATATCAAAACTGGTTTTATCCTATTTCCTTTCTTTCCCACCTCTGTCCTCCCTTCCTGTTTCCCTGCCTGTCCCACTCCTCTCCTTCCCTGTGGTAACCAGCATATTTTTCAGTCTAAGAATTGAAGTCTAGGGCCTTCCCGGTAGCGCAGCGGTTGAGCGCTGGGTTGTGAAGCTGCCCGCAGCCTCCGCAATGCCAGTTCGATCCCCGGCTGCTCCCAGGCTGCCGGAGGAGGGTCCCACATGGCGCGCAGACCTCTCCTGCCGCCCGCTGCTCCCCTCAGCAGTGTTCTTCGGTCCTTCTGCCTGCTCTGCTCCCCGCTCTGGCTCTGGTGAATTCTCTCACCCTCCCGCGCTTCTGACTGTACCCAGTGCTTGTATAAACAAACAAATAAATAAATAAATCTTTAAAAAAAAAAAAAAAGAATTGAAATCTAAGAATGGAGGTGTGAAGTTGTACTCCCAAAATTACACAGCTATGTAAATGACTGACAGATCAATCAAAATTGAGAGGGGAAAAAAATAGATAAAAAAGAATAGCAAACAAAAAAACCCCTAATTATATCAAGCTGCTTTATGGCTAATATTTTGTGTTTTTAAGGAAACCATTGTGTATGAGACTGTGTTTGATGGAGAAGCCATTGATCCAGGTATGGTGCTTAAATATCTTTTGAGTTAAGCCTGTTTTGCCTATTTGGACAAAAAGCTGCATGAATAAATAACTTATTCATTATGTTTTGCATAATGAATCCCTGT